ATACACTAAAGACGTCAAGGTCTAGCAAATTATACAGGGTGTAACAATTAGAATTAGAAATTGGGGGGAAATTCTGATAACAGATTTAGATTCTGCGAATAAAAGTGCCCATAGAAAGCGCTAACGGAAACTGTTCATTTCCTACCGTGTAAGATAGGGAAAATGAAACCAAATTTTGACAGTTTCAGTTTTTGGATGAATTTCTTGATGTGCCAAATACTGCAGTTAAAGTTTGGCTTTGTTATTTTCATGTTCAAAGATATCCAGACACCAAATTTCGTCAAGATCAGAATATTGTTTGGCATTCCTATTTGCAAACTTTCAAAGGTCATTTCGAATAACATAGGTAACGCTAATGTCTCAATTCCTATCCTATTCTTCTTCCTACGTGCAAATTAGCCCATTTATATTTCTGGTAAATTTGTTACTATCGCAAATTAATATTTTCAGACGTTATACGAAGCCATGAAAGCTGGAAGCTTAACAGTTACCTATCTACATAAATGGTTGAAAGAAACCTGCTCGGAATTGGTGAAGTTGGAAAAAGATGCAGCTCCCAATGGTTGGCTCCTACAGTGGGATAGGTATGATATGTTTGATTTAATTCATACTAGATTTATTTAGCATCCTCCACTCGGAAACCAAGATCAAAACATGGGGGAACATGCAAACTGTCATTTATTATTGCTTTCATTATCAGATTTAACTAGATTATTTTTCATTCTGAAGAGATCAAGACTTACTGAACAGGTGAGCTAACTTCTTTTCTTTGATTATTAAATATAGTGTTTTTTGTAAATATTTTAGTAGTCAGGTGCACTAAATAAGAATGGCAGAAGTAAGTTTTGTGTAATGTTCGCTCATTGGGAAATTTCTCTACATTTAAATTGATTTAAATTGCGCGAATGCATATTTCCAGTGGCGATATAGTTTATTAGGTACAATATTCATCAGGAGTAGGTATATGATCGCCGCCACAAATTTAGTAGATATTAGAAAGCCGACCCCACGATTCACTTGCACGGCACGAGGCAAACTCATTTAATTGGTGGATTGTATTTTGACATTCTTTGGTTTAGGTGTTAGCATTGTAAACAATGGTGTTAGTTAGCAATTGTTGATATCGATGAATAATATTGTTTAGTGTTCACCTATCCGCCATTTCAATTTATAGACTAGGTGAAAAATTCAACACTATCAGTGGTACAGTACCCCTCTCACTATTGTTTGATAATATGTACTTCTGTGAATTTTTTAACGTCTTAACTAATACCTACCAAAGAATGTCACAGTATCCCTACTTGATTTTAATGCAAGTGGTACATCAAATGAATCAGTGAGTTCACAAAACGTACTAAAATAGTCCAAAATTTGACATTTTTAGTTAAGATAGCCTATCACTAAGATTCTTTCATCTATTTAATATCATTTTACTTAGTTTACACCAATGTAATTATTTTTCATTTATTTATTTATTTTCATTTAAAGTTTTGATAAAATAATAATGTATAATGCCTTTATAAAGTGCCATCTAGCGTATAGATAAATTTAAATAACGCCGAGACTAGTGTAACCTCTAGTGTATTCCCTTAAGCACAAAAAACGTTACAAAACTACTGTTTATCCTTATTGTTTAGATTTAGGTATCGCCGCCTGCCATTCTTATTTGGCCACTAAGTACTGTGTCTTTTTAAAAGTGATTTATTAGAATACTTTACAAAGGAGTAGCGTTTGAAATGGCACTTCAATACATTACCACAATAGACTCTCCTATTGAAGGCGGGATTTGTATGTGCTTGGTTGTCATGGATTTCTTACAGAACTTCCTGTGCTTTTTTCTCCCCAATATGGCAACTATTGCGATACATTGTAGGAACGCTTCAATGCTTTAGTCATTATATTGAGGAAAAATTTGAAATCACTACAAGTCTTGGTATGGTAATTAGTTGACACCCTTTCGTATTTTTAGATTAAAAGGGTGATTTTTTGGAATTTTGCTTTAGAAAATAAGAAATGATGTAAGGTGTAAGGTAAACTAAGGATGACGATTTACTGTAAAAAATTTAGATGTTGAATATTGGTCAGTACTTCACACACACGCACACCCTCATTTAATGGCAAGAAACTGGTATTTTATTGAATATCTAATTTACAGAATTTAACAAATATTGATCCGCATCCGCAAAATTAAACTACTTTATAAATCTGTGACAACTGTGAACTAAACGATTCCGCCGCCATGTTAGAGAGAATATAACGGGGCAATCTACTGTGGAACGCTATCAATATACATGTACATGGAAGAAATTTTATCCATAACGCTGAATATGTCCTCAAAATAACATTTTTTTGAAGAAGCTTGTTATGGTATCTGAAATTATAAATAGTCTGCTACTTAATCTACATACTTCAAATTTGTGGTCAGTGGTACTTCTGCAAGAGGAATATATATTACTTTTTTCTCGACTTTTTCATTACATTATTAAGGAGTACACTTTTTGGGCTATAGCAGCATAAACTGTGTGAACTTTATGAATATGTAATAAAAAATAGTGGTTAAAAAAATATGCCCCCATTGACCATGCAAAAATACGCCACTGATCACAAATTTAAAGCACATAGATTGGTTGTAAATTTTTTTAAAATTTGAATACCATAAAAACTTCTTTAAAAAAGCCGTTTTGAAGATATATTCAATATTCCAAACAACACTTCCACCCTGTATATCTACAGGGTGATTCCTATAGTACCTGCCACCGTTCGGGAGCGTGTAGGTGGTGCGTAGGGGAGTATTTTGATATAGGACACTTGGGGTCGGAAATCTAAAATAAGGGTGCCAGAGCCAAATTTACCTTCTGGAATTTCGCGCCTGTAGGTAGGCAACCCAACCGGCCGGCGGTGCACACGGAGCGATCTCAGGCGGCGATGTGTGGCTGACACTTGTCAGAATTTTGTTTAATTTAAACCCACGAAATCCCGTCTGCAACGACGCGTATCAAGTGAATAAACACTATGGCACGTTTTACTAACACGGAATACGCGGACATGCACTTCATGTACGGATTGGCAAATAGTAACGCACGAGCTGCACGACGAGCGTACGCTGAGCGGTATCCAAACCGTCAGTTACCCTGCAGACAGGTCTTTCAAGAAGTTCACTTCCGACTGTGCGAGACAGGGCAATTGCAGGTAAGCGCATTCCGTGTTAGTAAAACGTGCCATAGTGTTTATTCACTTGATACGCGTCGTTGCAGACGGGATTTCGTGGGTTTAAACAAAATTCTGATCAAGTGTCAGCCACACATCACCGCCTGAGATCGCTCCGTGTGCACCGCCGGCCGGTTTGGTTGCCTACCTACAGGCGCGAAATTCTAGAAGGTAAATTTGGCTCTGGCACCCTTATTTTAGATTTCCGACCCCAAGTGTCCTATATCAAAATACTCCCCTACGCACCACCTACACGCTCCCAAATGGTGGCAGGTACTATAGGAATCACCCTGTATGTAATGGCTTTTGGTGCTTGCCTCCTTCTTATGAAACTTTTAACAAGATAAAAATTGCTATTATACTTATCATTTATCAGTGATACCTGTCATAAATTCGTCTGGTAATAGATATACTCAAAAGATATTTTATATTTCCTTACAAAGGAAGAATTCACCATCACTTACTTTAGGGCACATGGTAGATTGAAGTTGGTTTTTTTGAAATTTTTTGACGTGCAAAGAAATCATATTATTTATTGAGCTTTGGATCAAGTTTTCATTGAACTTTATCTTAATCTTATTATGAATCACTACCTAATTTGGTACAATGGCCCGTATGAATAAAAGTAAGCAAATGCTTATACTTGCAAAATTCAAAGTAAATACTCGTAAGTGCTCCTTCACACTGGGCGACTTAGCAGCGCTGCTGAGCAGCAGGGCAGGACGCAGTGCAGCGCTGCTAAACAGACCAGTATGAAGGGGCAGTTACGAGTATTTACTTTGAATTTTGCAAGTATAAGCATTTGCTTATTTTTATTCATATGGGCCATTGTCTCACATTATTTTAGTGTCGGTGGGTAGTCTAATTAATAAAGGCTTTGTATTAAATTCTTTGTTTGTGTGGGTTACATTTGGAGATATTTTCTATTGATTATAAAACTGTGAGCTAACTTTTTTACATAGAAAATGTGAGGATTTATTTATTTTCGCTTACTTTCTGTAGCACATTTTTAAAAGAATATGTACATATGAATCGTTAGCTTAACTTTACTGTCGTCATCACATTACTCCCCATTTTCATGGGCAAGCCATTCAAGGAATCTTCATGCCAATAGTTGCAGATGACAAATCAGTTCTGGCAACATTTCCAGACTATTTTTCTGACTTCATTATTTGCGGTGATATCAACTGTTTTGTCGTCACAGCATATTCGTCTTCTCTCATCTCCAATGTGTAGGTGTTAGCTTATATAGCCCATAAAATAGAACAAACTATACTGGAAATTAGTAACTATTGTAGGAGGAATCGCATTAATATACAGAGGAATGTGACTTGGATTCTCTCTGTGAAGATCCATATAATTAAAGGTAAATGGAATTTCCCACGCGTTCTACAATTTGGTATTCTTGTGTTATTTCCTTACCCTGAAAGTCAAATGCTTTCTGTTCTACCATATGTCAAAAGTAAATGGTCTTCAGTGGGGAGACATTTCTACTATATACATTCTTTTATGTGACCACGTAAGAAATGACTCTTGGAAATTTTTTGTCAAAACTCCATTTGATTTAAAAGGAACTCTTTATGTACCATTTGGTAGTATTACATATACCATGAAGTGATAGAACAGGGCAATATTTGATTTCTTCGTGTCCTACTATTATGGTACAACTGGCCAATAAAGTTACAAAAAATCTCGCAAAAAATCTTTTATTATATCTTCTTTAAGTGAACTGACAGTGTTCTTAGTAGGTAATCATCTTTAGGTGTGGTGGCAAATGTGTTTTTGTTTTTCATAACCCAAGTACTCCAACAACGAAAATTAAAAATGCTTTAGCACATTTGGGGTTTCTTTTGGCATAGTGTATTTAATTGGTGAAAGTAACATGCCTTTTATGCAGGGCACTCCTTTTTCGTATCTCAGTACTGGGATTTCAATTCAATGAAAGGATATGATGTCGGATAAAGATGTGGAGGGTTTCTTAATTTAAAGTTATGTTATTCTAACGCCTTATTTGGGGTAACTAGTTCTCTTTGTTTACATAAAAACAGTTGTTATGAGGGAAGCTATTTCTTTGTACTGAGGCGCGAAAAGAGGACGCCGAATATTCAGTACCTAATAATGTCACATTCTTTCAAAATTTCTTTGGAATGTCTTCAAGTATTGTCATCTGCTAAACAGTTAAGTAGTCAATTTTAATTTAACTATTTATGTAGAATTAATTTACTTCTTTTCATAACAGTTTTTCTGTGTGTTTAGGTGCAAAACGGATGGAGATGCCTTCGATGCTACGCAAGCAAGATATAACATTTTGCCTATGTTACTTAATAACCTTACTTTTAAATTAAAAATATTTAGTTTCGTAAGGGCAGGTACAGTATTTTAAAACTTTTTGATAGTTGACAGATGACTGGTAAAAGAAAATTAAATTTTTTTAATGATCGTCATCTGTGATCTGAAAATACATGCAAAATTGTTGCATAACCTGGTGGTTGTAACAAATTTTGTATCACTTACAATTAATTATTTACAAATAGCTACTGTAAGGTTCTGTAAATAGATTTCATGGGATGTTGTAGGGTAAACAAGCGTTATTACTATCGCAACCAACAAACAGGTGAGAGTCAGTGGCAATATCCTCAACCGGATATCGTGGGTGGCGATGAAGCAATGGATATTTGTACAACACCTCCCCCAACCTTAACAGATTCTGTAATTAACGAATCGGTGTTACCTGCACCCACAGCGCCCGTTCCTGTACGACCACCACCACCTCCGAGAATTAAAAGCCCCACACCCCCACCACCACCAATTATATCAAAAAATGTTAAGCAACGAAAAAAAGGTTTGATATAAAGCATGTATGGAGCAATTGCAACTAGTCTTAATTTTAGTAAAGTCTCCTAGAGCCGTCGGAGCAGTTCAGGAGTTACCTCCATTACCAAGTGGTGAACCTCTTCCTCCGGGCGTTGATTCACTGCCAGAACCAGCTCATAAAGAGGTGAGTGAAGTCTGACAACATTCATAATTTTGATTACCTACTGTTTTTTTCAGGAAAGTCAAAATAGCAAAAAGGATTCATTAGGTTCTGAGCTTAATTCTTTCTACTCCGATTTGGCTGCTATGGAAACAGTAGTAGGTAATACGGTACCAGAAACACAGTTGGTCGCTGAGACTGTTTTAAGTGATAATATGTCTTCAAATACTGTGCCGAAGAAAAAGAAAAAGTCTAAAGTGAGTTGCCTTGATTTTGAACTCAGTATTTATCTTTTGTCTTATCTCTTCAGGTCAAATTAGTCGAAGGTTTAGCAATGAAAAAGAAAGGAGTATCCAAGCTTGTTGAAAGATGGAAAAATGTTCAAAAGGATTATAATTAAAATATCTGGGAGAAATTTGACTTAACATACTTAAATTATTTTTATTATGGAAATACGTGATAATGTGCTTGTATATTAGGTTTGCATAAAGCTATTGTGATTTTTCTAGAAGTGATTTTTATGCAACAACAATTTTGATTACTAATTTAGATGATTATATAAAATATTCCGCTACTATATCAACATTGACCAATCGTCCCTTGTAAATTTATTATTCACAGAAATTCAAAAACTAAGAGTAGTATCCTTTTTCTGTACAAAACCTCCATTTTTAATAACTAATAAAATAACATCCTTTATTGTTTTGTTTTAATCATTTTGTGTTAGTCCATGACAAGGAGCACCAAAGAATTGTTTGACAAAAAGTATTGTCATTGCTTGGTTTTCAGTTGTGTTGTGTAAACAAAATTCCTATTTTTGAAATGTTCATTCTTTTTCTTTATCTTGTATTATCAATTGTTTGAAGTTTGGTGTGTGTATGGACAATTTTCGCCTTGAAGAGACAGTGCTGTGGATGGTAAGTAACGGCACGATAGCTAACTAAATGCTCTTTCTCAAATGCAGCCTTATTTCTAGACTGATGAACGGGTAGCCTGTTATTAGGGTTATATACTGTAAATTATTTCACTTGGGCGTCGAGCTAAAAGTACTACGTTATTTTTCTCCAATACGAAATGGTACCATGATAGTCCTACAAAGAAGGTTTCTACGTAATTCCTTAAAGCGAGCCGTAACGCAAAGTGAATTAAGGTTTTCGCCCTAAAGCGAGTAACTTCAGCGCATTTTCCATGAATTGATCAGTACTTCCCAAAAGCCCATTGCTATGTGCGCTACGTTTTTCTTTACTAGAGGCATATATTGTTAAAATAGCAAAGAAATATCTCCATACATACATACAGTTCGCTCATAGGCACTTTTAATTTATGCTTTAGGCACAGTATATCGGGGATATACTGTGCTTTAGGTATGCGATGTTTGTTTTGTTAATAGCGTCTATGGTTAAACTTTAGAGAGAGATCTTCATAAGTAAAAAGTTGGCATTTTGCAATCTGCGCATGCGCGGAGTTGATTTTTACTGTGTGCGATGTATTTGTATTAGTTTGATTTTTACTTCATGTAATAATATGTTCGTCTTCACTAGAAGCATCTGTGATTAAAATTTCAAGAAGATATCTCGATAAATCCCCATGCGCACATTAATCTGATGTTTACAATATGCGCTACCGAATGCAAAAAGAACGAACTAAATATCTTTGCAATAGCGCACCCAATTTCGTTGGAAAATGCGCTAAAAATAACATATTTCCCGGTCAAAATTTTGGAAGACATTTTTATCGTCCTTTGTAATGATAAAAAGAACCGATTGGCGAAAAAAACTTCCCTAGGAATTTTTTCGATTGACGCTTGGACGATACATTACTCTGTTGTGGTAAGCTATGCCTATTGTAGAAAGATCGCCACAGCGCAAGCGCCCCAGTCACGAACTTATAAATTAAAATGGACTGCTAATGCTGAATTGACAAATGACACATACATGGGGGCAGCCGTGATTGGCACTCACTTGGGGCGAAATTCAAATCAACTAATAAACAAGCATTAAACCAACATTAACCTCACGTTTTCTAAATAAATTACTGCGACACATGTCATTTTCCAAGGCTGCAATAATCTCAAAACTTGAGCACTAGGAAAATTCACATCATGGCCGCGCCCATGCTAGGGACATTTCTACCTCTATGCAACTGTTTGATCAGCAGTCCATCTTAATTTATAAGTTTGTGGTCCCACTATACCGCGTTACAGTATACGCGCCGAAACGAGATGACATGAAAATATTTAACTGCGCCTGCTACGAAGATGCTACAGTCTTTTCAAATGTTCACTTCACGCATCGATTAAGTACTTTTTGCACACATTTTAACACTACTTTTAAACTGGTACTCACGATTCTGAGTGATTTTCGACGTTTTTAGTTGCGTCTGCCCCAAAATTAAGTCAAAAATGCTACCAATTTGCGAAATAGTTATATGAGGGGGAGGGTATCCAAAGATGGGTATCTAATATGACGTTCCTTTGGCATACGCAGTGTATGGAACGGCGTGGACCACAAAAAAATGTAAGAAGCGTTAACGCACCAATTCGTGCTCTCGAGACGGCGCATACAGCTTTCCCAGCGAACATAACTGTTTATTCCTTTGTCATATAAAAATTGAACGAATAAATAATCTTGAGACGTCTTTAAAAGAAATGCGCTTTTGTAAAAGAACTATGCGATCAAAAATGAGTTGTTGTCGAGTCACCTTCGGAATTTTGTTTGCATCGGAAATCGTACTTAACTTGAACTTCCAAAGGCGACTCGACAGCAACTCATTTTTGATCGCCCCTTAAAGGCCCCATTCACATGCGGATATGTACGGCGGATCTGTACGGCGGACATGTACGCGGGACAGATCCGTATCAATTCGTATGTGTGTATCCGCGTGTTCGGCGTACATATCTTGCTCGCCATCCGTCGATCAGGATGGCGAGCCGGACAAATACGCACGTGTGTAGTCGTTTCACGGATTTGTTTGCCGGACATAGAATCATCAAATATATTGATCTATTCAATGTTTCTCTAAATGTACTCAAACAAAAGTTAAAATTACATCTCACATATAATGATATGGATTTTTATCAGAAACGTTAACGATAGCACTTTTGGAATGATAATGTAGCATGTTTGTTTATTAAGAGTATGTTATAGGTATAAACGGTAATGTATATTATTATTGTGAGGTATTATATTAATTTAATTTAATTAATTTTGTATATCATGTTTTTTTATGTGTAATGTACACTTTAAACTTGTTATATTGTTATAGGTAATTTATTATTGTTGTTCTTTTTTGGGGTTTCCCTGTAAATAAATATTATTATTATTATTATTAAATAAATACGAAATTCTTGAAAATATGTTAGGAAATTTAAGAAATCAAAATGGAAATGCGACTCAACCTACTCCAATTAAACAGTCATTTAAAAAATATTTTGTTTAAATTACTTTGAATACAATGCAGGCGCAAATTGTGCTAAAGATTTAAATGATCTTTTGGGTAATTTTACAAGCAAAATTGCGGAACAACACCGAACTCATGGTGAAACTGGAACCATTTTATGCCATTTCCGAGCATATTCTGCTAAGGCAGGTGGCTTATTTGAAAGTTTCAGGTATAATTTTCCCAAGAAACTGTGGGGAGATTGCACAACTGAATTTTAGGTCTTCAAAATTCCTTCAAGTTGCTAAGTACTGTAGCGTGGCAATTAATCACTGTTTTGACCACAGTCTCTTCTGTTTCCTACCTTCAAATAAAACTATATATCCTGCAATTATTGTCAGTTTTTTCTTATGATCCATAGCAATTACCACAGCACTCAAAACCACACCCCAGGGGCTAGCACTACAGAACTGAAATAGTGAGAGAACGCCGCCTGCTCGTCTATTGAGATTGGTCCGTGATTTGTGTACAGACATATCCGCCCTCGTATCCGCCTGTGTGTAGCTCAAGGCGGATCTGTCCGGCGTACAGATCCGCCGTACATATCCTCATGTGAATGGGGCCCTTTAGTAGTCATTAACAAAATACTGGTACACTAACCCTTTGTAGCTTAAATAAACTTTAGGCTATGTATTGTTTCGCCGAAAAAAACCCAACTGGTAGGTATTATAGCACGGACATGTCATGTCGATTTTCTGAAGGAACCTCTTCTGACAGGAGTTCACGATATGGGAATTTGAAGTTTACGGGGCTCCCCTCTTTAAAAGCTTTGTACCTACACCCACTGGAGTAGCGACCATATGTTTACAGTCTGCTATTCCGAATCGCACCCGGAAGTGGTTGATAAAACTTTGCTGATGCACAGCGACTTTACCGCCCTTTTGCTGAAATTAAGTGCCCAAACGTGTGCCTCACCTCGACCTCTTTCGAGAAGTTCACGGTTCACCAATTTCAGAGATCTCGATAGAAAATGCATATTATGATGCAGTTACCAATTTACAGCGTTCCGAATTTTAAAGTCAAATAATAGCTATTTATATATCAAGTACCTACATAAACTTGGTCTTTATGGACGAGCCGTTTATTTAGCCGAGCAAGCTTGCGAGCGAGGCACAAATAATCAAGGCGAGTCCCATAAAGCCTATATTTATGGTCGCGATATATACAAAGCTTTATGTACGACTGTAACAACCCTTAAAAATGAAATTTCATGGAATTCAATAAACGATAAAATTTATATATCATTGACAACAGATGTCAAGCATTTGTCGAGTATTTCTAAAATACTTGAATTTCCCTTGGATTGACACAAGTACGACTGTCATATTGACAGGCGGCCGTTTTTACTTTATCATTATGGACTAGGCCATAATATTGCAAATTATGCCCACACTAATTGCGACTGTAATCACCGCATTATCAAGCAGTCCTACATAAAAATGTTATTGGCCCGTATGAATAAAAGGGAGCAAATGCTCATACTTGCAAAATTCAAAGTAAATACCACAGAGTTGTATATAAGTAAATAGAGAGACAGTCTTATAGCGAAAAATTGACTCCAATTGAACCTTGCGCAGGCCGTTGGTGAGTGTGCGCAGTAAACGACAACAGAACCGGCTTCAAATTAAATGATCCTTAAAGCAGGTTCGGCTTGAGAATAATATGGTTTTTCATTGCAACAAAAATTGAAAAGAAATTCAATGTGTGGTGAATGATATTTTTAACACTGTCTTGAATAAATAAGAAACATTACAGTCGTTAAGAACTTTTAATACAGTAGACTACCCACATAGCACACCAAGTGCTGTGTATATACGCAGTAGATACGAGATATACCGTACGTTCATAGTATGTACATAGTATACAGTTGCAAAGTACATTCCTTAGTGCATGTGCATAGCACATGCTCATTAGAACTGGAATTGTAGATATGGATCGAATGTACACTGTAGGTACTTAGTATATCAACTAGTGAAAACAATTTTTTAATGTTTTGCTTCATTTTATGTACAAAATTTGAACAGTTTTCAAACACATAGTTATCCTTGCCATTTGCGCTAATAATGTTGTATTTTTTGGCAATCAGTTATTCAATTATTGCCATTTACAATTTTGCATCAAAGCATATTAAGAAAACATATAAACAACATAAGAAATTATTTTCGGCAACTCGCTGTTACGATTATGTACTATTTTATTTATTAATGCGACTGTTTAAACATGCTTATTAAAAAACTTGAATAAAAACAAAACGTTATTAA